TTTGGTAATGCCTTAAGTGTAGAAATGAGAAATCTTAAATGTCAGTAAAAGTATGAATGAGCCGAATATATATGCTTTAGCAAATTCGGCTGGCAATTTATTTCCAATCACTCTAAATTGAGTACTCGACTAATTGTATTGTTCGGTTTTTCTGTCGCTGTAAAATTAATTTTTGAATAATATAAAATGTAAGACCCAGAATTACTTAGTTTTTTAATGAAGCATCTGATATAATTTTAAGAACAGAAACAGCAATATGATTGTTACAAGGCATCCGTTAGATGACGGAATAAAAACAGTGAAGCTAGATTAAATATTTATTACATGAGTGATGTAGTTAATACAGTGTGACTAAAAGTAAACATGCAGATTTGTATTATTTTATATGCATAAAATAGTACAATGCTTTCACAATTTGACCTGATATAAAAAATTTATAACATTTTAACAAGCGAAAAAACAAAGAATTTAATCACAATAGTGTAAATAAATGTATACGTCAGATTTTTTTATTTAAATACGAAAGTAATATATATTATTTTGCTTATACCAAAATTCTTAAAATAGTTATTATAGATTCGTTATGCATTACGAAAAGAAGTGCATTCTATAACCAGTATATGCATCTCTTTTCGTAGTCTACCCTTGTCGTTCAATATATTTCGAAATGTCATTTTATCGTGTTCTATTCTTACAATTATTAGTATTTTTGAAATAAGTGTATTAATTGTAGAAACAAATTAGAAATATTTTCTAAATTTATTGTACAACACAAGTGTCTGAAATGTCTAATAAGCGTTTTTTTTAATTATTTTACATATTTTCGTCAACTAAAGAAGAAGCAACACTCACGAATCAGACACGAACATACGAGCAAGTTTGCGAAAAAAAAGTTAAAAATAAATTTTTGCAGTAAAATGTAATGAAAGAAGCAAAGTTTTCGAGAAAAAAAACAAAAAACAAAGAGATTTTCTTTTGTTTAATTAATTCCAGTATTTTTGTTAGAAAAATTTTTAAAACGCAAAAAAGTGACCATTTTATAATTATTTTTTTTGATTGAAGCTGCATAAAAGGTAAGACGAATGAAATAACCGCAATATCAGGAAAATGTGCAAAATAAATAGTTCCAAGGTAAATGTGCACAATAAAAATATTAAAGACATGATAGGTAGTATATAATTGACATGACAAATTATGGGACTATGTAATATGATTGTTTAATAATGCAATAAAAGTAAAATCAATATATAAAAATTTATATGTAAAACAATATTTCCTGTGGCTACAAAAATTTTAATATACTTTGTATGTAAGGTTAAGTTTTGTGTTATTGCTACTTATACGATTTAACTTGATTTGTTATTAATAACTTAATTAATAACTTGATTTATTATTTAGAAATATAAAATATACGAAATATGTATATGTATATGTACATACATATGGCATATACTTATTGTAATATCGAAATCAAAATGTTTTCAAATTTCTTATCAAAGTTCTCTTCCAGAAGATTTAAATCAAAAGTGACATTCTAATTAGAAGAGCTAAAAAGAACAATAATTATCGCTAAGTCAAATTGGATTCCAATTAAGGCATCAAACTGTATACTAAAGATTCAAAAATCCAATTCAGTTTTCGGTTATCAAATCGTTTTCTGAATAATGAGTCGTCATGAAGGTAAATATTTCAATAACATTTTTTCCTAACCTGATTGCATATTTGCAATTCCATTTTATTGTAATTGTATTAAATACTTTAAATAAATATTTATTTGTATTTTATATTTTAGGTGTCAGCTGTGATTCATGTCTCAAAAGCAACTTTAATGGTCGTCGTTATAAATGCCTGATATGCTATGACTATGATTTATGTGCGGACTGCTATGAGGAAGGTGTGACATCCACTCATCATTTGGTTGATCATCCCATGCAATGTATTTTAACGCGAACTGATATTGATCTGTTTTTTGGTGGTGAAATGCTTAATTCAGATCAGCCACAAAGTTACACTTGTCCTTATTGTAAAAAAATGGGTTATAGCGATGCTACACTATTAGAACATGTTACTGCTGAACATACTGAAACAAGTTTGGAAGTTGTGTGTCCAGTCTGTGCTGGCATGCCAGGAGGTGAACCCAATCTAGTCACAGATGACTTTGCTGGTCATTTAACGTTAGAGCATCGAACTGGACCACGAGAACTAATTTCATTTATAATATCCTTTTTAAAAAACAAAATATTTATTTTAATTTAATATTTAAGTATTTTTGTATTTTTGTTTTTAATGCTTTTATGTATTTAATGTATTTAATGTTTTTGCATTGGTAAAATGTATTCCTTAACTTTTTGTTATACGATGAACCATCAGCTATTCGTCACGGAGGCGGAGTGCGTCGCATACCGGGACGTACCTTAGTTGGCCAGAGAGCCCGTCGGTCTAATATGCACTTCAGTTCGTCAAGTGGTTTATCTGCATTATCACCTTCTGGTCGAGAATCGGTAGATCCAATTGCTGAACTTTTATCACAATTGTCAGGAGTACGACGTGGTGGGCCTCAATCGTCACAACTTCAACAAATACAGATGCAGATACAACTTGAACGTCAGCAGGTGGCAATTGTAAAATATATTTCTATCTTTTATTTTGGGCACTAATATTCTTCTTTATGCATAGGCAACACGTCAGCAATTAGAACGTTTACCTAGACGAGCGCATCCTTTAGTTTCAGCCTCAAATTCAAATGCCACTATGGCAGAAGTTATTAGTGGAGGAAATGTTAGTAGCGCAATTATGACTGGTAACTCAACAGGTTCTAACAGTGTCAATGGTGGTAGCTCTTGTCGTGCAAATGAATGGTCCATAAGTACATCTGGAACAAATCAGCAACCGCAATCCCAGTTGACAGCAAACGCGGTTAATGCAAGAGAGGTTCAAATGTTACAGTATAAGGATGTAAATATTTTTATAAATATTGTAAACCTTATACAAGTTAATGTGTATATACTTACATTATTATTTTAGATTGCTGCTGGTACTGTAAATAGCAATGCAACAGGGGGTTCAATAGTTAATGGTGCTGAAGGGCAATCACAATTTTTACTTACTAAATTTATGCAGCCTAATTTGAGTGACAGTGAATGTGCCGAAGCTGATCAAAATCGGGCTGACAGGTAAGTTGTTAACATGTAAATACTATAACTGAAAGCATTAACGAAATGATAATCAAATTTTATCGGTACTATCCTAAAAAATTTAGTTTCAAACTATAAAATCCAATATTGATTAAATATTGTTTACTATAGTTATATCATAGAGAATGGTATGAATGGTATAACGATAATAATCTAATTTAGTTCATGGATTTAAAACACCTTTATTTGTATGGGGTTTGCTACAAGCCTATACAGCAATAAAATCGAATTAATATTATTACCCAGCTGTATATCCAGTACATTATTTTGACTATAGAGCCATAGAATCGAATTAATATTATTACCCAGCTGTATATTCAGTACATTATTTCACAACTTGATATATTTGTCCCAATTTAACTTTTAGTTAATAGAATTCGTATAAATTAAGCACTATATGTTAGTTTGTAAAAATTTCCAGTTCAGTATACCTCTACATGATGTAACATTTCCCACACGATTTAATATTCCCTATATTGTGTAACATTCTCTATACGATGTTACATTTCCCTGTTCCCTAAAAATAAAGTGAAACAGTATAATGTTGGGTTAGCGTCTAGTTGGCCGTAAGTCACTAACCAATTGGCACTGACTTATTGATTCTTAACGTCAAGTTAAGATAAAGCAAAACTTCCATGTAGATGTAAAACTAGTAGCACATTTTTAGGAATTTTAGGGGTGTTTGAATCTCTTTTTAAAATAAAGCCCAAAGAATTTTTAGCAATTTTTTCAAAGCTTATTTTGAGACCTGACGTAAAGTCATTCGCGATATTGAGTAGATGCTTTAGTGGCAAATTTCATAATAGGAGAGTAAAAGAAAGAGAAAATTCTTTAATGATAAGTTCATATATCAACTTCCCTATTTATATTGATTATATTGATTGCCCATATCACGGTATGAACGTGAACATATTCTGCATATGAACCTGAGCTTTAATACCACTGGTACAACTGTGTTCAACAATAGAATTAATAATTGCTTTTGGTAATTAAATGAATTATATTTATAATATCCAAAACCTATTTAATAATATTCATTCTAAATGATGCCGACAGGAAATTGTTTGAACACATAAGTCTTATTTGAGTATTATGTGCAATTATAATGTTTATGTACATAAATAAATATAACCACTTAATGGAACCCTTTTAATAGCTTCAATTATTCGAGTTATTTAAATTCTCACTTTACAGATAGTGGCTATACTATTATGGCTAGTTTTTGTATATTTGTGCCTTTTAGTAATCATAATTACTAAACGGAGCCTCGCTAAGCCCGTTCACATTACTTTCTTTTCACTTTTTTTTTCCATCATTTCTATATGTTGGATGTTGTCTTTAGAAATATATATTAGGGGTATTCAGGCAACTGATTAGTTGCTTAGTAGTTGATTATAACAAAAATTTGCACACAAAAATGAAACTAAGCAGAGAATCAACTATTTCGGTGATTCTCAGATTAGTACAAATTTGATTAATAGTGCTGCCAATACCAAGTGTCGTAATAATAACTTAAAATGAACTTTTGTATAGAAATTTGTTATCTATCTCTCTCAGCTGTTTGAATTGTGTGTAAACAATTTTCACTGTTAACGTATGTTTCACTTTTGCTGTTGATGCGAGTGCTGCCAAGGAATTTACACACAACAAACTAATCAGATTACGCATTTTGGGTCGTTCAAGCAACTGATTAACATCAAAATGCTAAATTTTTTTTATATGAAGTTTTTGAATCAATTAAGCAACTAATCAGTTGCCTGAATACCCCTATTGAAATGACTACTTATTCTTACTTTTTTTGGTGCAGTTAGCTGGCACTTTGGCTATAGATTATTTTAAAATAACTCAATATATTTGAGTAAAATTAATTGCCAACTGCATGCGTGGACTGCAATTGCAAAAGTAAATTCAGATTTCTATTTAATTATCAATTACTATTTTTTAATGCTTATTTGGGATTTGTCTTGATTTGAATCTTACTAAACAACTTAATATTATGAATGTCTTCTTTTTAAATTGTATTTTATTGAAGCATAAATAAATCTGCAAGTAAAAAGCCTACTTTGCAATGGGGATATTATCTTGAGTAAATATTTAGGGATTTTATTGTTTAATTTATCATTAACATATATTAAACTGTAATACCTCCGTATTAGATGTTAGATGTTTAGATGCCTGTGGTAACAGACAGTTAACTCATTTTAAAAAAGTGATCATGTTCTAGTATGTAGGGCAATGTAACTCTGTTAAGATTTTTTTTAGGTAATGCAGAATCTTCTTAATTTGTCTATAACTAACATTTGTGTTATAGTTTTAAGAGTACACCGCAAGAAAATATCCACATTAGAAATCTATAAGTCTATTTGTTTTGTATCTGTTTTATATCTTGATATTTCGATTATTTTTCGTTTCGTTATTTGTACCGAACGTTTCCTTCCAAAATAATGTAATAAAATGAATCGTAATTAACTTGCTTTTTTTTTGTAGGTCGCAGTTCGTGCAAGCTTTGCTGCTGTCCGCTTTGTCACGTGTCAATCTTGATATCGATTTGGACCATGAAAAGAGAGGAGAATCGCAAGAAACCAACAGTGATAGTGTAAATAATGAAAGGGGTACTACAAATATTGGTGAAAGTTTAATTGAAACACATGACAAGTCGAAGTCCGACGGTGGTATACATATTTCGGGTACCGGTGTCAATAGTCGTCAGCAAGTTCATCAACAACAACAGACTTCACCGGAGGATTTTTCCGAGGAGTACAAGCAACAGCAACAGCAACAGCCACAACCTCAACAACAAACATATTTGTTGAAAAAGAAAGCATCTGCTACAAGTGGCGGCACAGGCACTGGCAAACCAATTTCTGATAGAGGTATTGAACGTCGCGGTCGTCCACCGCCCCCTCCAGTTGTAGGCACTGGTGCAATAGCTACAGGTTCAGAGCCAAATCAGCAACAAGGCCAATCACAACAAAAATATAAACAACCTACCACACCGATGCCAGCAAATCAAATTCCAGATACTAGGTAGTGCTATAGAACTAGCCAAAGCACTTCATTAAACACAGCAGCAAGGGTCTCGTAATATATAACATATAATTATTTTAAAAGTTTATATAAATCTATAAAAATATATATATGGTAACAAAAAGCATAAACCATAAAAATATCGTTAATTAAAAACACTTGGTAAGAAATTTTATTACGATTTCTTAATATTTATAGAAAAATTAGAATGAATGGAAAAAACATTAAAACCACATGAACTAATTTAAAACAAACATACTATATGTACGTCGTCTTTCATTGTGCTACAAATTTTAATGTGAATGCACGACAATAGAGATAAAATTAGCAACTTAAAATAAAATAAAATAAAATAAATAAAATTATAAATGTAACACAACTAAAACAATTTTGCAACAAAATTGAAATTTTGGAGGTGCGCGGTCTGGTCTATTTTATTAGATTTCTTTTTAATTTATTAAGGCAACGACATAACTTAACGGCGTAGAGATTTCATTAAATTAAAGAAAAATACTTTGAATTAAATAAAATTTCATTATATATATTATAAGCCCAATTTTATACGATAAAATATTCATTTTGCTATTTGTTTTTAACTAAAAATGAAAGTGAATATAAATGTTTCTTAGTAAATAAATTACAACCGCCTGGCCTCCGCTTTTAAACTATTGTTCATATTATACATTATTTAATATGCTTTCTTAATGTTCATTCAAATACTTATATTTACACTTACGCCTTTCAAACTGAAAAATAAATTTAATATAAATTATATACAAATGGAAATAAAAACTTTATTATAAAAATATAAAATATATGTTGTGATGGCGTTTGAAAAACAAGCGTAACTCTTTTCAATATGAAACAAAATAAAAACATACAAAAAAATGTTAAATATTTTCATTTTTGTTATAAATTCTAAAGTGTATTAAATTATAAAATATAAAACAAATTTATTTCTAATTATTTTAATTTTAATTAACGATTTTTATTTATTCCACAAAATTGGTTTTATAATTTTTCTAATATTTGAATGTTATTTAAACACTAAATGTAGACAAATTAACTGTTAAGCCAACAAAGTATATATATGTGTATATATAAACATAATTAGATATATAATATATACGCTGCATGGGATTTTCCGTTTAAAATATCTTGAATTCATGACGTGATTCTTTGATCTTGATACTAATTTCTAATTAAAGATTTTCTAACCTGACTCTCTGAAATAAAATATATTCAAGCAAAACGCACAAATTTTATTTCAAATCCAATATGTTAATTTTTCGCCTTGATGTTTGGCATATAAAAATCCTGAAATGAAATCCTGAAATAGGTAACTAAACTAAACCAATATGGTTTTTAGTAAAAATGGTTTTCGCTGTAATTGAATGTGCCTTCTAATTTTCATTCTTGTTCATTTTTATGTTTGATATTCTTAAATATTTACTATTTGTTATTCGATTTACTATTTACTTTATAAAATTTTTTTCAAATATGTTTGAAATTCTTGACAAAATCAAATTGCAAATATTTATAAATGTATACGCTCCACATCTCTACAGATTAATTTGTTTACAGACAGACTTTATTAATTATATTATATATTAATTATTAACCACTTTGTCTTGTTAAGTTGATCAAAAATATATGTATTTATTCTCAAATGACTAATTTTCTGCATTGCAAAAATATTGCGAAATCTAACATACTCTCTAATTATTAAAAAATTTTATGATTTGGAAGGAATAAACATAAATATTCAACTATTTTTAATAGATAGTAGATAGTAGATACCTTTAATAACTCAAGCTTTTAGAATAAACTATTTTCATAATATTGACGACTGAAAGTTTTTGACAAGCAACATTTATTTAAACCACTATCTCATACGATTTTTAACGATATCGCAGTTCAAAGAATCACTGCATGAATTGATAATGTTTTCAAAGGAAACATTCTTTATATATAAAAATTATATATATATATATATATATATATATATATATATAT